ATATCGACGCGAGACCAACGCCAGAATCCGTTTCGCGTGACCAATGTTCGATTTCCGTAATAAAAAATTTTCACCCCTTTGCACCTAGTATACAGGGCCCGAAGGGTGGGTCCTACGGGGGTGAAGTACGGGACCGAAATTGTAGCCCTTCGCGAGACCGATCGATGTCCCTCGGGAGACAACCCTCCCCCGTCAACGGTTTCCGAGTTACGGACCAAAAATAGCAAGTGGCGCTTTGCACCCCTATAACTGAGGAACGGAGATAGATATCGACGCGAGACCAACGCCAGAATCCGTTTCGCGTGACCAATTTTTGATTTCCGTAATAAAAAAATGCAAAAAAGCTGGAACACCGTAACCCTAACAATCGGGTCTGCTGGCGTAGATTAATAGCGTTTTCGAATGAACGGGTTAATTCAACCCGGATCAATTAATCACTATATTTTACTATGAATTCAAGCCTTTTATTGGCAGAGACGATGCAATGACGTCATTAATCGCTCTCAGAGCGATTAAATCAGCTACATTCGAAAACGCTATAAGTAAAGCATATTATAATTCAAGGTTATTTGTGCGTTTATGAATTCATTTCATTTAAAGCTTCGCGCGCAATGGTTACTACTCAGACAGCACAAAACGTCCTCAGGATCATCCTGAATATGTCCAGGATGGTTCAGGATATTTGTAGGATGTTTTAAGATATTATTATAAATATATTTTATGAAAATTTAATATGCATACATGATTACTTTCGGTTATGTAGGCTATTTAATATAATTTAGAAATTTTAAGTATTGTAATAAGTATTAATGTCCTATAAATGTTCATTGGATAACCCCTGGATGTCTGTAGGATATTTGCCCTGTCTATTATATTGGATGCCCTTTGGACGTCCTAAGGACATCCTTGTGCTGTCTGGGTAGTGTATTTCTACTTCTTAAAAGCGTTCGGAATTTTTCTATTTTTTCCTTTTTTTACTCCCGACTGCTGCCAACCGCAGGTTGGCAAAAAACGGAGGGAGTATGCGTTTCACCGAGCTCGGATCGGTTGTCCTCTTAGTTCTCGATAACTACTACATAGTTTGATATCATCTTTTGCTCAAAAGCTTCTTATTAACCAAGGAAGGTTTAAAGCGTATAATTATCGTTGTTTATGTTGTTAATAAAAAGTGAAAAAACAATGTGGTCTCGTCTATGCGTCCTCTCATTGGCTGCCGACTGTATCTAGGAAGCAAAATGATTCACCAATAAGATTCGTTCTGAGCATCTGCATAGGGAACTTTAGTAACTTACTGAGGACATCTCGAAGTGATAATGGTGGGAATAAACATTACACATAACCTCAACCTGTCATATATCAAAGTGTCAATAATTAGTATTGTGAGAGAGAAGGCTTCTCTATGATATTATTTATTAGTGTTTCACTTTTTATATTATTAGTGTTTTTTCTTTTCTGGTTGCCGCTCTCTCTGTATTCTACCAATGTAATCATTTAGCGTTTTTGAATCACTGAACTCTATACATACTGGAATGAACGGTCCTATTGTTTGGCTGTCGGCATTATTTCAAGAGAGAGGTTGCGTTTGGATAACTGGTATTTCTTTCTATTGATGAAAAACCTTACTAAAAATATTGACTTGGTGATGTCATGCGTATGTGTTATAGCAGTGAACTGTCACACCATTTTGATGTGACGTGACATGCCATGTCATTGACCAATCAGATAATACTAGAATGAGATGCCATCATCCAAACGCATCTGACTCTCGGCGAAAAAGTAGCGGCAGCCAAACAAAGGGATTGCTCATTTCAATACGTATACCATTCACTGGTTTCTGCTAACGTTCATGTTACAGACACAACCATAATAACCATATACAATCATACGTATGGATACTGGCGTTGGTCCCATGTTGATATTTATCTCCGTTTTTTTTTTTTTTTTTTTTTTTTAAGCGTATCTCGTCCAGTTCTACGAAACGGTGTATCTCCAAAACGGTACGTTCTACGGCAAAAGTGCATAGAAACTTTTGGACGTACTTGGTCGAGACTTAGGAGAAAGGTCCTATGCACTTTTGCCGTAGGACGTATCGTTTCGAAGATATAGCGTAACTATAATTATTAATTATTACTGAAGCAAAGCAATGTCAGATTTGGTCAGGTTAGGTTTGGTTAGATCTGACTTGAGATAATATAAAAAGAAAAAAAAAGTTGTTGCGCCCTTCCATTGACCCATCCTTTCTCGCGTCTGAATCTGGGGGGCTATCAATGCCGTATTAAGCCCGATTCACACTAGCGGCTCGCGGCTGCGATTGCGATTGCCTCAGCCAATCAGAAAGCATCAATTGCAAGTATGATTGGAGCGTAGCAAATCACAATCACAAACGCAATTGCAATCGCAGCCGCGAGCCGCTAGTGTGATCGGGCTTTACACTACGGGTTGCGAGCTCGGTTGCGGTTGGGGTTACGGTTGATAGTTGCGGTTTGACCAATCAACCGGCTATCTGCTTTGCTCTGATTGGTCAATCCGTAATCGTCAACCATAACTCCAACCGCAATCGAGCCTGCAACCTGTAGTGTAATACGGCCTTAATAGGCCCCCTCAACATAACATAAACATATTTAGATTAAGCGGTAATTTTAATGAGCGTACACGTTTAATGAGAGAGAGAGAGAGAGAGTGAGATTCAAATCTTATATAATTTATCATAAAGATATACTATTTAAATATTATCTAAAAAAAGTGTAGCCGTTTAGTTTCCATGATACAGGGATATGTCGCCAGTAAATACCAAAGCAAACAACGCAGGACGGTAATTCAATTTTTTGGGGGGGGGGGGGGAGACGATGTGCAAAGAAAAGCGAAGAGATAAATCAGTCGATTTGCTCTCGAATAAAACAAAACGTTAGTTTATACTTGAATAAATAAAGTAACGATATTTTACACGATTAACTGCTTCTCGTGTATCTCACATAGACATAACAAATTTTATTATATAGGATCACATATACATTTGTTTATAGAAACATTTGCCATAAAAAAAACTTTTTTTTTTTTACATTAGTCCTATAAATTTAATATAAATTTACTATAAAGGTTTTTAAAAGAAGATTTAGTTGAAGTTTAAAAACTTTTACTTTTATATATTTATAGTTTATTGAAAATAATCTTAGGACTATGTGTCGACATTTAAAAAAAAATATAATGTATAATGTAATATAAATTTTAAATTGTAATTTATCTATGGTAAAGTATTAAACAAAAGAAGTGAGACAGTATTTCACAATGCATAGTATTGATGTAAAAAATGTCATTATTATTATATATGTAAAGTACATGGCAAAAATACTCATATTATGATCTAAAGAAGAAAAAAAAGTGACTAGTCTAACAAATTTATTATATTTATTATATTTATTAGATTTAGACAGATTCAAATAGTCTAGAAATATTATATATACATCTTGAATGTTTAAAATTTTTTGATAATCAAAATCATATCTTTATAAAAAAATAGATCTCTTGCGCTGTGGAATGCACATCTATCAGTGGTTCTTGTATCTTTTTCTATATATATATATATTTATGTTGATCTTAACAATATATTTCTTATAAACTTAAAATAATTTTATGTTATAAGAATAAAGCTTCATAAGTTAGAATAATTATGTTTTTAAACATTACGGATGTAAAAAAAAAATCTTTTCTTTATATAGTACTTATTTTAATCAATGATGATGTCCAGTTGTAATCAAAGCGGGTAAAAATGATCCTATTACCAAGAATAATATTTCTTTAACTTTAAGTCCAGTCGCAGATGACGTTGTACCCTCGATGTTTGACAAATGTGAATAATTATTGTTTCTTGTCATTAATTCTGGCAAAACATGTACGGTGGCTACGTAAAGAAATGTTCCAGCGCTAAACAACATAGCCAAACCAGTCGCATTGACGCTACTCAATGTTTCTTTTCCTTCCTGCAACGATACAAATTTACTATTAATTAAATCTCGTATTACATATAGAAATTAATAAGTTAAAAACTCTAAAAAACAAAAATATATTCAAGCTCATCAAACGATAATGTAAACATAGAATAAAACGACAAAATTTAAACTGTAAAGATTTTAGTTGTTAAGAGGAAATATGTACAAAGAATAACAAATACATTCCTAAAAAACACATGTTAAATTAGTACTCGCATTTTATTATTACTTCTTCTCTACAATATTGATTAAGTATCTCGTGCACTAAGATTCACCGTATTAACGTAATATTTCCATACATTATTATATAAAACTTGTGTATATATAAATATCTGTTATAAAAATAATTATGACAAATAATTTGCGTTACTTACTTTTCCAATTCCAAAATATGTCACAAGTGCAAGACATGGTGCCGCAAGAGAGAAAATTAATAAGTGTCTACTTATCTTCTTTCTATCTACACCTTCGTGAAGAAGAAATGATACGAGTCCAAATGCAGCTGGTGCCTATAAAAAATAATTATTTAATAAGAAAGAGGATAGTAACGTAACTACACTAAGGATATGTTCACGCAACCTAAATTATACAATTTTTATTAAGCGTTTGTAAACTAATTGCTAAAACATTATATAATTAAAATCTTACTTTGTGCAACATTATTGCAAAAAAAACTATCACTTCGACATCAGCTTGAGATGTAGTAGCAGCAGCTCCCAATGCAACTCCGTCAACAGCTGCATGTACTATAAGACCTAAAGTTGCTGTAATACTTTTTTGTCTTCCTCCACTTTTTCTAGCTGAACATTGATCGATCAAAAGCATAAATACAAAACCAAGTACTAAACTAATTCCAATTAAAGAATGTAAATCACCTGTAAAAACACAAGTACTACTTATATTTATATGTTAGATATCACTTTCATGAAATGTGGCAATCGATAAATACACGATTACGTACTATATAATCCTTTTTCATTAAAAATTCCACCAGTGAATAATGCTCTTATACCCTCAGGTATAATCACTGCTAATGCAGTACCAACGAGAAGTCCTGCTCCTAATATTGATACTAATTGTAACTTATCCTAAAGAAAGCACATATTGTGTATAATTGCAAAGCACGTTAAGACATAGTGTGTTTTATATACATAAAATATTCTCCGTTTATTATAAGAAATAATCTTACTTCTGACAAATTTATAACTAATGGCAATGATCCTGCTACACAAGAGCCAACAAACATAACAAGAGAAAGCATCCATAGCATTGCTCTCTCCTCCATTTTTATTTAATACTGATGGAAATTATTAATTTTCTACATTATTATGTTGTTAACAAATAAAATATACGTGTCAGACATCAATATGAAATAATTGAGTAACTGTCAATCAAATTATAAATTTGCAGTCATACACTAATCTATCATGTCAATGTAATAATTTTTATGACAGATAAGAATATATATAAGATATTATTCGCTGATTTATATGCGATATTCATTGACATCGATTAATTTAGCCACAAAAGTCGACAAAAGCGACAGATTGACAGATGACAGACCAAAACCAATTCTAAGGGTGCGAACTCATGCAGCGGAATTGTAACGCGGAACGAGAGTGAAACCAATCGCGAGCATTCTGCAGTTTATGTTACGCTCGCGATTGGTTCCCTTCTCGTTCCGCCTTACGCTAATCCGCGTTTCCGCGTTTCATGTAATGGCGACAAACGCAATCGCAATCGCAGCCGCGAGCCGCTAGTGTGATTCGTGCTTTACGCTTTTCCGCTGCCATGGGTTTGCACCCTAAGTGACTCCAAATTGATCTTGAGCATAGATATATAAAATATATAGACGGAACAACAGAGTAACAGAGTTGTGACGCGATCACTGGTCTAGTTTCCACCGTAAGTATCAATTCGCATCTAGCGCGGCGTAGGACTAAATTTAAGTCGAAAGTCATCGGTCCGATTCTGTTTCGGTGCGCATCGAATTTAACGTTTCCATCGACTTAAATTTAGTCCTACGCCGCGCTAGATGCGAATTGATACTTACGGTGGAAACTAGACCATAGAAAGAGATAAGACGATGTGTGGGTAGGAGAGGCTCATGGCACTAT